ATAATCGGCAAAAATTACGCCAATTAGTATAACGAAAATCACGTGGTCCAATACTTTTGACCGGGGAGTGTACATTGGTTATTCGATCACTGGCACTTCACAAAATTTTTCGACTTTAAAGTTCAGCTACTAAAACAACTTCATTATGGTATGATTAAACTTATTTAAAAAAATACTTTTAATTTTTTTTTCCAGAGTTTTTCTGTAATTTTGTTGACAACTAGAACTTGTTAAGAGCGTGAAAAATTCAGGAATAACATGTTTAAAAATAGTTTAGAATTAAATACTTTTTATATCCGTGAGAAGGAAAATAAAGAATGCAAGGCTTGTAGTATTTGCTTTTTTCATAATAAAAAAAATGACGTGTAAATCTAAACTTTCGTTTATTAATTTTATCGTGTAACGATAATATTTTTTTCAGATAGATTTTTGGAGTAACGCGAGCGATCGGGTGATCAATATCATGTGATATATTTTAAAATCAGTTGAGACTTATATTAAATTTAAATTAAAAATTATGTCGGTGCTGCTATAGTATAGCGGTATAAAGCACTTGACAATTTAACTCTCGAATACTGGGTTCGAGTAAAACTAATACCAAAAAAAAATAAAATAAAATAAAAAAAAAAAAATTTTTTTCTTAAAAATATATTTTAAAGTATTACATAAAAATATGATTTTCATTATATTACACGTTCCAAAAAAATTTCAAACTTTCTTTTTTCCACGACAAACGACAACTCATCAGTAGGCTAAAAAAAAAGTTGTATTGGTGACGCTTATTAACTTTTGATATTCTTTATTTTATTAGACGCCAACAGTGAGGAATGACAAAGATGATATATATTTATTTTTTTCGTAATTTGATTTTTAATTTTTTCTGATAAATTTCTTTAAGTGCAGACCAGGTGCGGGCGAATAAAGTTTTAACGAGGTGTATTAGACGTACTTGCAGCCGACAGTGTTATCCTCAAGAGATGATGCTTCAGGAAGTGGTTCGTAGCACCACTTATTGTGTGGTTTCTTTGCAGGAATTGCTAGTCCTTTTGGAGTTATCTGCCATCAAAATGCTCAGGCTACAATAGACTACGTAAGTAATTTTATTTGCTGTGCTTCTTATTGCTCTTTGGTCTTGTCATATGAGTTGTATAATTATTACAATTATTATTCAATTAAAAAATATATTAAAAAAGTTCTGTGATTTTTGCAAAATGTAATAAATAAAATTTTTAAAATGTACAAATAAGAGATTAGATTAAACTAGATTTCCCTTCCTAGACTCATAAAAATCTCTTCATTAATCTGTTTTCTTCCTCCGTTAGTGTTATTTTGTCCGGCTCCTAAAAAATTTAACAAGTTCCGGCCTTATTAGTCAACCATTTACATGAAGTAGAACATAAATCATTAGTTTTACCGATGCAATTCAATTTTGATTTTTATTCAACAATAAAATTTCGTCGTCCACTTCGTACGTCCAATTAAAAACCGCTCTTGACTCCTCTTTTAATTTCTTTATTTTTTCGTCAAACTCCTTAGAGACTACGCTTTCGATTCCAACGATTCTTCTGATTAGATTTTATTTATCGTATCCTAGCGATCCATCTAATAATGTTAAATTATCATAAATTCCAATAAAGTATGACAATAATAGTACGCCGCGGAAGAATTATTTGCTTATCAAAAATAAATGGTCAAATAGTAAAGTATTTTATTTTATTTTTATTTGCGTTCTAGAGATTGAACCCTAATACTAATTTTCAGAAGCACCTCTTTATAGCGATGGGAAGATTTTTTCATTACAATAATAGATTGAGGAACATGCAAAATTTATATACAAATCTGGCATAGTTTAGCCTAGACGAAATTTCTAATCTGGCAATCTAATGCTATTTCTCTTTCCCAAGTAAGTTCTTAAATTTTTCAGGCATAAAATATCTCATAAACACACTTCATTTAATAGGAAAGTAAATGGAGTTTATGAATCAATATTGTTACAATCAATATTAGATAATTTATTTACAACTCAATTGAAACCTGTCGAAATAATACTATACAATATATCATATTTTCAGTCCAAGCTTGCGTTTCTTTTTATTACGATGAGATGAAGCTAATCTATATCCTCTATTTTCGGTAACAACTATAATCATACCCAAATCACTGGCCCTTTCCCATGACTTATATAATAAGAAGAACTGAGAAATAAATAAATTTGAATTATGTTTGTTTCATTTGTGCTAGTGACGCGAATGCATGTCTTTCCCATGTCAGATTCTCAGCGCGATAAAGCATCATAATACTTTACTTGCTACCTCTATCATTTTCTGATCGCTATGTATATGACAATCAATAAAATTGGTCATTTACATCAATTTCTTTTTTCTTTAATGATCACGTCTTTCGAGGCAGATAAGTTGTTGTAGTTTCGAACATGTGATCATTCCAAACTTAGTTTTTGCACGTGATTGCAAATGCGGCTTTGCTTCCCGAGTGCCTTCAAGCGTTAAAGTATCCTGGTAAGGTAAATGTGCATTGTTTACTTGTGGTTGTCTTATATTACTTGCCCACTTTTTTGATGTAACTTTTTAGAAGAATAATGTCGACCCTTCACTCAGGAAGTTCTTAGATTTCTGGTTTCACGCGGGTAATTTGAAAGAACTAGAGCACTATTGTTACTAAAGTGATCTGAAACTCTCAGCAATTATTATACAGAAAAGTCCGAAATCGGAGAGAAAGTGTTGAAATGACAGAGATATTAATGTATCATTTTTGTTTAGTTGATTCGGCGTGGAATCGGAATACTTTGCAGGTGGAATGCTTGCACGGACTACTTTGCGGGAGGCATGCTCACAAAGGAAAGGTGAAATGCTATGTTCGTAGTAGTTTTTGGATGAAATGCTCGTAGGGAAAAGGGTAGAATGCTTTGTTCATAGTTGGTTCTGCGATTATTTAGCGAATCTATGTATAAAGCAAAGAAATTGTGTAAGTTTCTCTTAAAAATAATTTTTTAAGGAAGAAAAAGTCGAGTTTGGTAAAACTCTTTTGGAATCACTATTATGGAATCCGAGATAATTGAAGAAAAAACTCAATTGCAGTGGGTAGGTTATCTTTACAGAGAACTATTTCTAGAGCTATTATTTATTTATGATTTTCAGAAAGGAGGAATGATGGAGTTTGAAGGAATAGGTCTCTCCGTCATCTTAAGGAAACTTCGTCATAAATTACACTTCTTACAAGCCACCAACTACAACGACAAACAGGATGAGATCTCCAAGCTTAATGTTTCAATCTATATTTGAGTCAACTGGCGATGACTTACCTACTAGCATACTGAAGCTTGGAGATTATGAAGATTTTAATTCAAGATTGTTGACAATTGAAGATGAAGATTATAATGAAGTGAAAGAAAGAGCTAGAATTATCTGATGAAGAAGAATCCGTAATTACTATAAATGAATATTTTTTATCTTTTGACGAAGCAGTCAAACCTAGTAATTAAGAATAGACTTTGTCAAGCGGAATACACGTCAGAATTGTCCTTTCACAACAAACATTAATGGTTCTAGAAAATTCTAAAATAACAAAAAGAAAACAGTCGAAACATAAATTCGAAATCCGTGTTCCTGAAGGCATTGGGAAGATTGAGGTTGTAAGTAAAATAGAAAATAGATTAATGTTTTGTCCACTAATATCACTTCTGCAGTTATGTTTATATTATCGATATTGGAATATTTGATAAAGAAAATGAAGAATCGTTCAGCCCCAAAAATAAATCTTCCAATTCATGAAAATATATTTCACAATGTACACTCCCCGGTCAAAAGTATTGGACCAAAAAAAAAGTTATCGCAACTTTTAAATTTATGACTAATTTTAA